AGGATGAGGCTGGAGCTTGAGTGGATGCATCAGTGAAGGGTGGTGGAGGTGCCAGCTTTTGGGGTTATTGTTTTCCGGTTTTATTGTTGTTGTGAGTTGCCCAGAGTTGTGTTTTTTAAGATGGGCAGCCATGTAAATCCAATCCAATCCAATCCAATCCAATCCAATCCAATCCAATCCAATCCAATCCAATCCATCAACCAACCATTTCTTTAATTTTCCTGACACCGGCAATGAAATGTTGGCAACGTTTTGGCCAGATCTAAAATCCAGATAATATTCCTCCAAATTATTCTATCCCTCCCTGTTGTCACCCAACAAGTTGAGTGTGTGCATGTGTTTAAATGCACTGGGATGTGGTGATTTTTAAAGCAGCCCAACACTTGTAAGTGTGAACTAACAGTTTGGTGCAGAGATGTCTGTATGTTTTCTAGCAAGAGTGGATTTGTTTTATTTTGTACTGAGCGTAGCTAAGGATGAGCATGACTTTCCTTTCCTTTTTTCTTATAAAAGCCTTCCTCGTGTTAAGCACCAATCTAGCCACTCCTGAGCTGGCTCACCTGGATGTGCTCCCTTTTTGGTGGCATCACTCCTCCCCCCTGGGGATCCTTCTTTGTTCAGAGGACAACCACCAGCTCGCTTACCCTCCTGGCAAAGCTACTCCTGGCCTTTTTGGCTTCCTCCTCAGCATCCCAGCTGACACCGTGGCAGAAAAGGAGGCAAGAGACCGCAGATGTACAAAGGTCCCTTGGGAACAAGCATTCCGGGGAGGATATCTTGCAATGAATGGAATTGGCCACTGGATGTCACTTGGGAGCTGGGCGTTGGCAGAGCAAATTGCGAGGGGAAAGGCAGACAGGCTGAAACGCAGTCCCTGTGATAAGGGTTCCCGTATAGCAGTTATTCACAGGTCTCAAAACAAGGCTGCTAGAGCAACGGTCCAGTTTCCCCTAGAAGCGGCCTGTCCACTGAGAAGTAGCCTTCCATCTAGGAGGCTTTACGGGGACCCTTATCACTGCTGAGTCTGTGCACTATCACTGGTGAGGGTGTCATTCTTTGAGTCTGGGGTGACCTCTTTGGGGCTGTGCATCTGTGAGGTTTTCTGCCAGAGGAAATGAAAGCCAGAGTTGAGTTCCCAGCAAACATAACCTGCCTATTTTAGAAGATGGGACCTGGCCCCTTTCCACCTTTTTCTCCCGTTATTTCTCTCGTGTCAGCCATCGGAGGAATTGTGCTCCCTCCAGCACTAATTCCAAAGCCTCTTTTTCTCTCCCAGAATTAAAGCTTTTTTTAAAGAGGGCACAGCACTCAAGGGCTCCTTCACTAATTCTTCTCCTTATTCCCCCGCCTGCCTTGGCTGCCACTCTCTAAAGATCTGGCTGGAAGATAGATCCATATTTACAGGCAATCTGTTTGCACCCATCTGGTGAAGATGTCGGCCTTCTTTCATATTACAACTTGCTTGGCTTCCCATTTGCTACAGACACGAGACTCAGGTGCTTAAATACCCCAAATCCATCTGACTTGCAATAACCAGCCAATCTCCTCTGATCTCTGTTCCTCGCTCACGGTTCCAGAAAGGCGAGGAAGGCTTTGTCCCCCGGGGACCTGTTACTCACGCTGACTCCTGGGGCAATCCCGCTGTTCCTCAGTCATTCCCAAAGACAGGGCCAGTTTTGCAATCTTGTACTTGCTGGGCAGGCATACGTTGGCTCCAACCACCAGGGAAAATTGTAGCAACAGCTTCTCTGACCTCGATGCATGAGAAGAACTGGGAGAAGGATTTCTGGCTCTGAGAAGATAGATGCAGAGAGAAACTCTGTGTCTTTGGTCAATTCTTGCTCACCATCCATTCACCAGACAATATTTTGTGCTGACTTGTATTAAACTAATCATGCATTGATTATGGCTAGGGAAGGCAGCTGAGTACAATAGTGGGGAAACTGGAACTGTTACAGAAATGTAGCTCCAGGCCAGCTTGGCTTCTGGACCGCTGCAGAGTTGCTGTATTTTAGTGAGGCAATATTTGTAGCACTGGAGTCCCTTTCCAGACAATGTAGTTTGCTCGTCTCTGGCTTAACCAAACTTTTTTTTTTTCTTTAAAGGTTCCTAGTATCACCCATCCAGATTTGGCAAAGTGAAAATCCCATTGCCATTAGTTGTGCTAATCTTATATACAGCAAGATTTAATATTTAATTTATTATATTAGATATAATAAAAGGTACCCCTTGTGCCACTGCCATTGCCAGCACCCTTTTGCATCAGGCACATAGAAAGTGAGAGTAACAATCAAGAGATTTATTTAAGAAAATTACAGAAACCAAGGAAAACGTCTATACAAAGATGAGCATGAAAAAAGACAAGGAAGGCAAAGATCTGCTGAAGAAAGAAGATACAAAGAAAACATGGCACAAATATACAGACAGACTGTACAAAAAGACCCCAAAATCAATGAGGCGTACAAAGGTTTGATCACTGAGCTACAGGCAGACATTCTGGAAAGTGAAGTTAAATGCCCCCTAGAAAATATTGCTAACCACAAAGCTGCAGGGGTTGAGGAAATCCCAGGAGAACTGGGTAAAATCTTGAGTCAAGGCAGGTACGGAATACAGAACAGGGGCCAGGGGACTGCAGAAAATCAGTTTGTATGGCAAGATCAAAAAGAGCAGTACTAAAGAATGCGCATCTCGCTGAACAACTAACATTATCCCCCATGCTATTAATATAATGCTCTAGATTTTGCAGCCTGCATTTCAGCCATAAATGGAACAATAACTGTCAGCTGTAGAGGCTGGATTCAGAAGCAGGGGCACCCCAAGTCACCTTGCTAACATTCAGCTGATAATAGAAAGGGCAAAGGTGTCCCCAAAAATAGCTTTTTCTGCTTTATTGATTATACTAAGGCTTTGTAGACCATAACAAATTGTGGATAACTCTTAAAAACATGGATATATTGGGATACTTCATCTGCCAGTTGAAGAATTTGTATGATGAGGAAGCAAGAGGTAGGGCAGAATATGGAGAATATTCCTTTTCCTTTTCCTTTTATTCTTTGTAAATGTGTTCTCTTATAAATTTTAACTGTATA